CACTGTTTATGTATTGCCTAAGCTATTTAACAGACTGCTCAATTCTCTCTAGTCCCCAGATTTTTTTCTTTAGAGCAGGCCAGCAGTCCCCGTACAAAGTAATGGTGCTGGTTCAGCCCTGTGAGGGAACCTGAAGGAAATGACTCTGCATTAATAGCTTTTTGTAAGTAGTGCTGTGTGACCAGTGCTTCTCAAAAGCTGCAGCTATTGGGATTTCTTTTTGATGCACAAAGGCAGCACCTTCTGCAGCATGGGGCTTGTCTGCAGGATACCAGCATGGCTTCTACCAGCCCTGCTTGCTGCCTGACAACCTTCCCAAGATTTGTCCTGCAGAAGCTGCTGGGATCTTGGAAACGCACAAAGCCAGGCAAACCCAAGCTGACATATCACCAAAAGAGGACAGCCCTGGGTGAATCTTCTCCTTCAATTAAAGGCAGGAATGCCAAGGCCTCCCAGTTCTTCCTGAGAGTATGTGAATCTTTAAGATGTAAGGGTCCTGAAGTCCAGATGTGATGGAGCTAGACAGCGTGAAACATACCCACTCGTGTGTGTCCTCCAGTGTGATGTGCAATTTAAAGCTAACCGTAAGTTAAATAGTTACCAAAAAAGCATCAGAGAGATGGAAGTAGTATAAGAAAATACCTTCAGAGGAAGTCAAAGTGAGCAGCTATGTAGTAAAAAAGTGTGAAATGTGAAGGAAGCAAAAAGGGGCTCCCATTAAGTGTCACGCTTCCACACAGAGAGTACCTTCTTCCCTCTGGATTGCTACACACGTAAAAAGCCATGAGTTAAGTAAGAAAAGCTAACTCCTTCTTGGGAAAATCTCCCTGCTACAACTAGAAGTGTCATCTGTTGCTCTAGGCCTGGATATTTCCCTAAGGAGTTCTCACAGGGAAGCAAAATAAAAGCTTTTTTTCTTCCATTTCTATCCCCTCAGGTGTAATAACGTTCCAGTAAATAACTGGAGCACAGAAGTAAAAAAAAGAAAAAAGAAAAAAGAAAAAAAAAAAAAAGGAGTGGGACTCGCATTGCTTAACTTCAGGCTTGGACAACAGCTTCAGTACAACTCTGCACTCCCTGTTCAGCTGTGGGGAGGCAGCCAGCTGTAAGGGGCGGCTCACCCCATCCCACCATGAGGGAGCAGCCCTGCCCCGAATTTCTACACAGCCCATGGCTTGACCAAACGACAGACAGATTCCACGTTAACAGCATGACTCACTGCAGATAGTGCTCAGCTCTGCTTTGGAATGGAACTGCTACGTATGGCAGTTTCAGAATAATATGGTTTCCTTACTATGAAGCATCCCTGCCTTTAGGAACAACAGTGATGTGGTATAAAAAGCAGAGCATAAATTGTATTCTAGTCATTCTAGTAGATATTTTTTTCCCTTTTTCATCAGGTTTGCTCTGTGACTTCAGATTGTGCTGCCTGTTACCGAGTGATGCAAATGCACATATGCCTCACATGGTAGAAGAGTGGGAAGATGTACTTTACTGGCACCCTACTTTACATGAGAGTTTTCAGCATGGCAAAGTTTCAAAGGAAAAATACTATTTTGTCTGCACCTAACTTCACTTTTTAACAATGAGTGCTTATTAACTTATGAATATAAATAGCCATGCTGATGCTTGCCTGGCAGTACTCCCGGGTCACTCAGCCTGGGCTATGCTTTTGAGGCTGTATGCAGCTAAAGTGCAGGCAGAGCAACGCTGGGAGCAGTTCTGCCTGACTCTTAGCCCCGCAGCCAACCTGCGCGGACAGGTCTCGCTATCCGCAATCGCACCAAGCGCTGGGCCGGCCCGGCTCTGCCGGCACCCGCAGCAGCACGACGCTCCGCGCCTCGCCTCCCTCCAGACTTCTCCCTCCTCCAGGTTCTGGCATCAGGGAGGCCTCGGGACACAGGGCCGACAGAAGCTCCTCCCCACCCAGCCCTGAGCGCCTGGGGCGAGCAACGAACACCGCTCCGCTTCTCTTTTTGCCCGCTTGCGGCTCGCCTCTCCCTCGCTAGCAGCCGGCAGAGCCCCGGGCACCCGAGTGCGGTGCAGACCCAGCTGACAGCGGGCCGGGCTGCACAAGCACCAAGAGAACAGCAGCGCACGGAGCACGCAGCAGTCACTCACCGGGGGACCGGAGGCCTCCGACCCTCCCAGTGCCCCTAAGCACGGGCAGGTGCGAAACGCGCTCCCGCAGGCTGAGCAACAAGCTTTGTCCCCGCGCCTTCGGTTCCGTGCTCGTTCTCGCTAAGCGGAGCGCCTCCACCGCGAGCGAGACGGCTGAACCCCCACAGCCCCGTGCACGGCGAGCCGGCACGCCCGTGTCCCGAGCGGAGTTCACGTAACGCTCAGCACGGGCAGCGCGGCCGCTCGGGGCGTTCTTTCCCTCTTTCTTTCTCCCCCGCCTTCTTCGCAGCCCGCCCCGCTCGCCGCAGAGCCGCCGATGGGCGCCCGCGCGGACCCCGGCCCGGCACGGCGCGAGCTCCCACGCTGCTTCACGCAGAGCCGCCGTCCCTCTCGGAACGGAGCCCCGCGCCCCACGCTCACCTGACGCCCGTCCCTCCGCCCGCGGCAACGCTGCTCCCCGGCCGCCCTCGCGCCAAGCGGCTCCGCTCGGCGACCGCCCCGCCCCGCTCTCCCGCCCCGCCCACTCAGAGCCCGCCGGCCAATGGGCGTCGCTCGAGCTCGGCGCGCGGCGGGGGCACGCTCCGCCTTTTGGACGGGCAAAGCTCAGCGCCGCCGGGGGGCGCTGTAGAGCGAGCACGCAGTGACGGCCTGCTGGGGAAGTCTCTCGCGGGCTGGCCGCGGTCACGTGGGGCGGCGGCGGCGGGGCGCTTTGTGTTGGGCGGCTTCGGCCTCGCGGGGCTCCGTCAGAGGGGCTGGCATCTGGCTGAGGTGCTCGCTGGCTGTAATAGCGCTTCTATTTTTAATGGGCGCTGATGGACCTGTCAAAGTATTAGAAATGTGTTTTTTTCCCCCACAATCTCCTTTTCTCAGGCAGCGGTAGCGCGGGCAGCTTGCAGCAGCTCGGGGCCGCAGCGCTTCGCAGTGCGGCGTTCCGCGCGGCCGCGCTCCACGCGCCGATGCTGCGGGCAGTGAGGGGCGGCTGTGGGCCACACCGCCTCCGGGCTGAGGGGCGGAGCAGCTGCAGCCTGGGTTAGCAGCCTTCGGTGTCCTGACCTGGCGCCGGTGCCGTTGTCTGATCCGTCGCCTCCGTTGTTTGCTCACAAGCCGCTCGTTTAGCGGTAGCAGAACTATCGTGCCCGAGTGGGGTGCAGTGGTTTCAGAGCAAGTAAAGGGAACTGCAGCTGCAGGTGAGCTCTGCGGGGGAGAAAAGGCCTCGTTGTCATCATAGACCGGCAAAGTTACCCCCGTGCGAGTGGTGTGCATGGAGGGATGAGCGTGGTGTCATCTGGCCGCAGGTGGAATCACCCTGTGGTACACATCTGTGAGTCTGTGCTGCGTCTCGGCACTGTGTGCTTCAAATATGCGGTGCTTCCAAGTCTGGCAGTGCACAAATCACAGAGCCATGCTTGGTTCCATCACTACGGATCCAAACTGAAAACGTTTCCAAAAAATTACTAGCTCAAATACACTGAAAGCACTGGCAGCAAACCGGCTGCTGGGACCTGGTGGCTCCTCTCTGCCGAGGACGGGAGTGCCCACTTGTTGGCTTGTTCCTCAGGGCCTGCCTGCAAGGAGATTGCCAGCGATTAAAATATTGCTGAGAGCAGCCATGAGACTTGCTTGCTGCCGTCCCCTTTGTGTTGGGAAACCACATACAAGAAAGGTGCTTTTGTTTGTACAGCAGCATTGCTGTGTGGTATGTGAGCAGCCGCTGATAAACAGCTCAGCTTAGGTCTCCCTGCAGCTGTGACAAACGCTGTGCTGTGCAAGGTGCACAAAAACACTATTCCATGCAGATTCTAAGCTATCAAGTTTGCATCATAAAGAACCTTGCATTTGCTGTGCCTTGTCCTTCCCTACTCACGTGTTCAGCTGTGTTTCTCCGGTGGTGCACGGTACTACCGTGGTGCTGTACGCAGCCTTTAGAAAGAGCTGGCATACTGAACAACCAGAAGAGACCAAAGAGGCCAGTGGCACAGGCTGAATGTAAATGCTGTGTATAAATACATCATAATGAATTGCTCTTTGGTAGGTTGTAGGAAAAAGAAAGAAAGACATCCGCGGTTGTCAGTGTGACGAGAAATGTTTCAAAGTCATTTTGTCTACACTGGTGTTTGTGTTGAGCTTTGGCAATTGTCCGCACATCTCGGTGCTGTAAAGTTGTGAGGTATTTTCCTTGCTCCTTAATATTCAGTGATGAATAATGGTAGTGGTGAAACAAGTAGTGGGAATGAAGGATGCTAAGAATCTTCCTGCTAAGCCAGCTTTGGTTTAATAGCTTGCTCTCTTCACAGTAGTGTGTAATTGTAATCACAGAAGTGGTCTGAAGGTCTGATCCAAAGCTTGGTAAGAGTTCTGATTTCAGTGGAGTCTTGGATCAGCGTGTAATATGTAATTCTATTAATATATACTGTTAAATATGGAGGGTATTTTATTTCTAAAATCTTCTTCATATGATGTCATCAGTGTCATTCTGCATGGTACTGAGGTCTGATGGAACTTGAAATTTAAAGCCACGAGCAAACCAGATGCACCAGCATCCTCCTGCAGGGCTGGGCCAAGCAGGCAGCAGGTGGGTCTCAGTGGGAAGATGCAGCAGTGATGGAGAAGCTGCAGTGGCCAGGACTGTGGGTGCGCTTCCCTCACAGTGCAGACCTGGATCCCATCCCTGCCTGCCCCATGTCACCTCTGGCTGCTTCCATGTGGGCTGTTGGGTTTACAGCAGCGAGAGTGCTTTGTAGCTGTAGAAGTGAGTGTGAGAAGCAAGGAAGCAAGGAGTTGTGTTGTTTCAGTAGAGAAGATTCTTTTATCCAGGTTACTTAGGCTCAGGTTTTTTGGGGGGTTGCATTGCTAACTGTGCTTTCTTTCACTCTTAACAGGGTGCGTGCTGGATTGGGCATTGTGAGTCTCCACATTTCACAGAGAAGCTGCCCAGAAGGGAACTCGCAGCAGAGAACATTGCTCTGTTCTGTGGAGCTGCAGGGGTGAGTACCAGCAATGAGCGAGCAGTAAGTTGGGTGTGCTGCCCTGTCACTGTGTGTAGTGTTCACCCAGTGATTGCAGCAGATGCTGATTGGTATGAAAGAGGATGAAAGAGGAGAGTGAAAAAGAGGTTTGAGGTAACAGTGTGAAATGCCAGAACCATGAAACAGAGTGGGTGGAGAGAGGTGTGATGTTGGAGAAGAAACATGTGAAATTAATAAGAAGAGAAATGTCTAAAGCAGCATTTTGCAGCACGCTCTGAGGGAGGACTGCGTTTTTGGGTTCGACTGTCCTTCCCTAGTAATGTAATTCTGTGCACGTTGGTCATTCGAACTCTTCTAGTATTCCTGTTATATTTGAACAGTGATCTCATATTCACTGTGCGCTTTTGTTGCACAAGATAAACCATGGTGAACAATTAGGTGTTTCAAACAGTAAACTTACGTAGATAAGGCATTTCAAATATCAAAATGGAAAAAAAAGCAGAGGGAACAAGAGTGTAATGATCATCAGTTAGTTTAAAAAGATGTAAATGTGTTCACCTATGATTGACTGATAAGTCAAAGACACGCAAAGAGTTTCATTCAGAAGCCCCGCTTTGTGAGTGCATATAGATTCTATTTATGTGACAAACATGCTTTGGTCGCTTTCCTTTGGAAAACTCCTTTGGAACTGCTGCCCAAGCTGAGTGTGTGTGTTGCTCTGAAGGAAAAAATCATCTCTTTGTGAGGGATCCGTGCCTTGCCCCACATCAGTGCCATTTGTGCAGGAAAGGAGCTGTCGTAGTTGCCTGGGGCATCTGAGGAAGTTCTGTGCACTGAGTACATACTGCAAAGAGTTCTGTGAAAGGAGAAGGAAAAAAAATGTAAGGAAAAAGTAAGGAAATATAGTTTCCCTTTGCGTTCTTCAAATAAAAGGGAAAATCAGAAATGCAGTGTTTCTTCAAGGTGTTGTGCTGATATCGTGGAAAGAGCATGCTTCAGTTTGGCTGGAATCTCTGCCCATTGGCATGTTGGATCTTGAAGTGGGAAGGTGCTGAGCTGAAGGAGGAGCCCCAGGGATTTCTTACAAGATGGAAGGCTTATCTGCTTTTAGGTAATGTCTCGCTGATGAGGTTGTGCAGGGTAGGAAATGTGACACTGGCCAGAATGCAAAGGATGTGTGAGGATCTCACTGTAAGTGTGAAAGTTGTTGCCCACTTGAGAAACCAGAGGGATTTTGTGTGATAGGGGTGTGCAGGAGTTGTCCATATGCATGAGCTACCATCCTGCCTTTTTGGGAGTGGTGGGTACCTGCAAAGAGTTAACATTTCCTGAGATGTCTCTTTTTCTGGTATAATGAGATATGCAGAAGTCCTTATTTTGTTTTTTTTTTTTTTTTTTTTTTTTTTTTTCTGGGGGGGGCGTTTTTTTTTCTTCCAGAATGAAATACTTTGACTCTGACCTCAGTCCTGAAGAGCAATTGAGGGGAGGCAGGGGAAGGCAGTGCAGTTTGGCTCTGTACCTTTTGGGCCGTCTGAATTCATTAGTTTTGGAGCCCGCCAGGTGCCTCAGCCTGTGTAGCTCCTCCTGCACCCAACCTGGGAGACTCTCTTACCACTACTGCATGCATTAGCCTTCATTAATACAATTAGCATAATATCAATTAGGATTCATTATTCCCTACGAAAAGATAAAGCCAGTAATACGTATCTCAGAATCAAATTCCTTAGCGCGTTGTCTTGGGATTGCTTTATTTTGGAGTTGTTTGCCTCTTTATATCCTTCCATCCCCTAGAAAAAAAGAAAGCCACTTAATTGTAAAACTGTTTGGGTCGGAGAAATGTGTGGAGATGATTCTTCACGCAGGCTAAAGAGGTGAATTGATCTGTGGGACCCACGCGGCTCAGGCACCACTCAACAGTCGGAACTGCGAACTTCATCTTCTTCAAGCACAAAAGCTACTTAGTTTCCCCATGTTGAAGACTTTTTATAATAGCAATAAGACAACTCTAGAGAGAACCATCTAATATTAACTCCGGGGAGTAATCATCTAATCACAATCTGGGGGTGATTTGAAGCACTCATCTGGACCAAATGCCTCACAACACCCCAGGAGTGGTTTTATTGCATGATAGCAGTACCCCATTGAGCCTTATTGCTTAATTAAAAACAAATTCCCAAGTAATTTTTTTGCCTTTCCATAAAAACACAGTAGTACATAGCATGTATAAAACATCCATTAAGTGATGGTAGATGCAAATTTACATTGTGAGATACAATGCTTTTCTTTACCACTTGGGGTTGAAGCTAAATGTAAAACCATTTCCTATAATCTGCACACTGCTGCGTTTAGAGAGGAATAAATATGGAAAGAGAAGTTCATCGTAGGATGCCTTGTTTTTATTAAGTGATCTGTTTGGTCTCCTTACAAAGCAGTTTGGTTTCCCGTCCATCTTACAAACACAGCGGTCTACCAGCAGCATGGCCTTCGCTGCCTCCTCCTGCAGGCTGCCTCTGCTCGCAGACCTCTGCCAGTGCACATCTGCAGTAGGAATCCCAATTTCTCTTTGGGGTTTCTGTATCTTTCTGAGCAGAGAGAGCAGTAATGTGGGCGACGTATCAGGAATGTATCCAGCATACTGTACAGATGCTGCCCCTATGTCCTTTGTGGGTTTTGTAGACTAACGCAGGTTAAGCCTAGTAGACATGTGGTAGAGCCACTTGTGGTGGTCCTGCAGCGCAGCTGAACTCTGCCTGCACCAGGCTGGTAGGGCTCCACCTCCCACAGTTTTACTGGACTTGCTGCTACAGCTGTGTCTGCTCTGCAGGAGGGCCAGGTGGACAGGTGGAAGGGCAAGAAAGTCCTTTTTGTACTGCTTCAGGATCTCAATCTATAGCATTCTTTACATATTTACAAAGTGCTTTCATAGCTCCAAAGTGATCTCCAGATGTCATGTTCCCCAAGGACTCTAAGTGTTGTCCATGTATTACAGGCAGAAGCAGTAAGTCCGAGGTTTTACGTGATGGTGTCACAGATGTGTCAGTATGACTTTTTCTTCATTAAAAAACACCCAGTGCCTTTAATTGGTGAAGATGTGTCTGCAAGTACGCCTGTTTTGAACAAAAGCTGAGTATTAGTGATAGCTATTACTCTAGTTGTCCTCGCGCCAAAGCCCTCTTGTGGCACCACGAGCTCTGGATGGAGGCTGACAATTGGATCAGTCTCACCTGCTGTGGGCTCTGCACAGCGCTGCATGCTCCTTTCTGCTTTTCCCCATCAGGGGCTGGTTCCCTGGGGCAGGTGGGAGCTGAAGCTGCGTGTGATGTGCAAGTCTTGCTGACGGCGGTTTGCAGCATTCAGTCATGCTAAAGAGGCAGCCTGCTTTGTCCTGTATTTAGGTTTTGTAGAAATTAATTATCTTTATCATTTGGTGAATGTGTTGCTAGAATGTCTTGTTAAAGAGATGTTAAGCGTTGTGGTGGACGATTTGTTAAAAAGAGGTGTGGCATTGAAGTGGTGAAAAGAATGAAAGTAAAGCTCACTGCTGCTTCTGCTGCCTGAGGTTAGTGAGGACAGTGCATAGCATAACAAAGTCTGTGTATTTAATCTGGTCTGTAGCAATGTGTGACAATGTTGGCTCAGAAAGGGATGTGAAAGGGCCTGACAGTGTTTTGAACAACACCCGTTTTTACCTGGCAGACCTGGGTTTATTGGGGATGCCATTACCTTGCTGTGATCTGACAGCATAGAGCTGGCTGCTCATACAGCTGACATGGAGCATGTAGCCAACAACAGGAAGCCCTAATAAGTTTAATACCTTCAGAAAATAATTTCTTGTCCCCTCAGCTGTACATCGCTTATAAATGCTCATTTCTTTTTATCATACCACGAAGGTGGCTCAGTACAGTGGGACAAAGGTGCACAGCAGCTCCCACAGGCACTGCTGCAGCCCTGCAGTGAGGGTGTGAGGAGAGCTGCCCTGGAGCAGCACCTGAGGAGCGTTGTTGCAGTATCTCCTGCTTCTCTTTTTGCAAGTAGGCAGCAGAACAGGAGGGCTGTTGGCCTGCATTACACTGAGCAGAACCAGCTGTGCCCAGCCTTGCTGGCACCTGGTCATGCTGCATGTCTCGCCGCATGGCAGCAGCACTGAAGGTTTGCAGAGCACTCTCCTGATCTGTTCTCTCATCTGAGCGTACAGTTTTAAACTTTAGGACACAATAAACATTACATTAACATGTATTTGGCCTTTAACAAGATGAAGAGTTAAGAATTTTACATGGATGGTTCTGGGATATATATGACTTCTTCATAACATATATCTTTTTGTGAGGGAAATGAAAGGTATGGTATTTTAGCAGTTGAAAATGCCTACCTTAGTTTGGTTTTGTTTCCTGATGACATTTCGGCACAAAAAGCAATTTAGAAAACATATCTGTGTTAAGTAAAAAGCAGGTGTTACAGAAACATCAGAGGAAGGCGGCTGTCATGGGGTAAGGGATGCACCGGGTTAGCTGTATACATATGCACAGTAAAAAAAGCAAGTTCATACAAGGTGAGGGAGCTTTCTAAACACTGTTTGCTTCACGGACAGTTTTTCAGAGCAGAGCGGAAAAAAAATCCCTTTAAAACTGTGAGCATCTGGCTCCATCTGCTGGTAGCAAAGCAAAATACGTCGTTCTGGGCTTGGAGGGAGGTGAGGTTTGTGTTTAAGATAGCTGCAGCAAAACCCAACAAGGACAATCATACTAACAAATTAAGTGCCTGTGCCTCAGAACCATGCCCCTGCCCTGCACTTATCTTCCAGCCTCATCCATTTCATTTCATTGGTGTCTCCAAGCTTTGGTGTCTGAGGTTGTTGTAAAGATACCGTAGGAGTAGCGCCTTGTGCTGAAACTAGCAGTAAGCAAATACTGCAAGCTTCTTTTACTGGGAAGCACAAAACAACAAATTCTGCCTGGAGTGTGTTTGATAAACCAGATCTTTTGTAGACATCTGGAGATTGTGTTTGCAAATCCCCCGCCAGCTCGTTTTGTAGTCACTGTTACCGTCATTCAGGTTAATTCCTCCACTTTTTCCTTGCTAACACACGTGGTACTTTATGGCTGAAGAGAGTGGAACAGCAGTTCTTTTAAAGCCCTTCCTGAAGTTTGCTATTTGGAGAAACAAATGTCAGATCACTCACCCTAGCTCAGAACTGCTGCTCTGAAAATGTAGCTGTGAAAAGAGATTACTTGGATACTAGATTAAGAATAATGCAGCAATAGGGGCCTGAAATAGCAAGTGGAAAAAGTACACTTTTAGCTCTTCCTGCAAAGATTTGCCTAAAAAATACTGAATTCCAAGCGAGAATACTCATGCCAAGTTTTAGAATCTCATTTGAATTTTTACAGCAGTTATAATCTCTGACATATAACCTTGGAAGCGAGGTCTCATAACAGAAATGCCGTGTCCCTTGACACCAGAAAGGAGATGCTGTGGTAGGCTGCAATTCTGGAAAAGTTTACAGGGCTGGTTTATGTCTGCATAACATCACCTACATGGCACTGAGATTTTCTTTCCTTTCTCCTCCATATTTCTATGCAGAAAAAATTGAAGTTGCCAAGAGCCCAGGCTGCAAAAATATCCCACTTGCCAGTGCTTTTTTTCCTCTCATTATCATACGCTTGCAATCAAACTCTAATTTCTGAAATAAAAAACCTGCAGGATTCTTTATTGGGACTATTAAACCTTCAATCTTCATTATTTAGGATGGCTACTTACCTTTTGCTCAATGAAGTCATAATGCAACTGCTCTGATAAAAACTATTGGAATGGTTACTGTGGCAGCGGGTAGATTTTCCTTCGTGTAAAATAATGGGCTGTGAGTGAGACATAACTATCATTTACATTAATTAGGCAGCCATATAATGGGGTGTTCAATAGCTATTACATCGTTTAAATTCTTTGGTGAACACCTCTGCCACCCAAGAACTATCCAGCTGAACATCTCCAAGCCCATAATACTGAAATAAGCCTCTAGAGGAGACACAGTGTTGCACAAAAAGTCATAAAAAGAAAAAAAATGTGAAACATTCATATTTATGGGATTATTTTAAGTTTTACAGAAAATGCACAATTAATTCAATTTCTCCCTCCCCAAAAAAGTCCACAATCCTGTTAGGTGGAATTGGCTCTGGGGCTGTTGCTGTGGGTTTGTTAAAGACAGTCAAGGAGCTTGCATTGAGAGGTCTTCCTGTTACAGATCTGGGGCTTTGGGCCTGCAGAAGTGTGTATGTATGTCGTAAAGCTCATTCTGAGAGCTGAAAGAAATGAGGCTGAATTTATTAACTAATGTGCCAGGAAGAGATTTGTATTGATAGGGTATTGATTTGCCTGTTGTGCAAATCTTCAACGTGCTGATCAGCTGCCTGTAGGCAGTGGTTATCAGATCGGTCAGTATCCAAGATGAAAAATAACACGTTTTAAATCAGTTTTGTTGGTCAAGTGTTAGTGGAATAGGTCCTAACAGAATGAAAAATGAGTGACTGGAAACAAATGGTTGTCTGGGAAGTAGGGCAGGACAGACCTCGGTCTTTAGGTTGTGACTTTCCCTTCAAGTGACCTGGTTCAAAACTTTTGGTCATGTTACTCTGGTCAGTGGTATACTCATTTGTTTTCTCAATGATTGGAAGGTACCAAGCCTTATCTAATAGAAGAGCTTATCTAAGAAGCAGAGCTTCTTGGTGGGAATAGCTCTTAATTCAGTGCTAATTGTTGCTGGGATTTCTTGCTGCAGTCCCTATCTACAGCTGTGCAGCCCAGGTGTCAGAATGGTCTGTAAGCAGAGCACTGGGTGCTGCTGGCTGTGCAGCCCAGGTGTGGCTGCTCCTCTCAGCTGCAGTGGGTGCCTAATCCCATATTTTTCACATTTGTTAATTAATTTAATTAAAGCAGTATGCTGAGGAGGCTTCTGTCTTAACAAAGCAATACCAATTAATCAAACACTGGGAAATGTGGCTCAGAATAGAAATGACAGAATTAACAAAGGGGAACATGAGGCAAAGGTGGATCAAACCTCTGTGAAATGCCGTGGAACTGCTCATTGCTCCCATGTAATCTGGAATTGTATTTCTTAGCAAAGTACGTAAGACCATGGTTTGGTCACCAGTGACGGATGGAAAGATTTGTAAATCCAGTTTTTCTTTCTGTTTAAGAAAACATTTGAAGGTGAACATTTGTTGTGTAGGTGAGCTGCTGCACTTTACTCACTGAGGCCTCCTGTGCTCCCTTGCTGACCTTGGGAGCCAGGAGGCAATCAATACAGCTGGGATAAGAGGAACAGCCGAGGAAAGTTAATCTTTCAGAGCACTCAGGTGTTTGCCATATTGAGAAGTCTTGTTGCCTAGGAGATTGGGCACTGGGCAATTGTTGGGCGCTGGTCTCAGCTGTGCTGTGCAGGAGGTTGGTTACATAGTGCTGGTGGACACTGGACACCTCATTCTCTGCTGAGGTGTAGGCTGGGGAAGGTTGCAGAGATGATGGTGCTAAAAAGAAGAGCTGATGTGTTGCTGAGGTCTTATACTTGCATCCCAAGGTAAGATCACTGCAGAATCAGTGAGAAATTAATTATGGAAATATTATCGGGTAGTGAGGGAGCATTATGAACAGCAGGAGCCAGGGATTTGCCCTCCTGCAGGGTGGGGTGGGAGAAGCTGCAGTAGGAGCAGTAAAGCGACTGAAACTTTGGATTAGAAAACCTACATTTGGATGTTTAGAACACCTTAATAAGGCAAAAACACCTCTTCAGGTTATTTAGCAACAGCAGTAAAGGTTTCTTGAATGCTTTGGCTGTTCAGATCTCTTGTTAGGCTTCATTTCATCTAAGCACCTTGGAGACCTCTGAGCACCTCTTCAGCATTCTTCACTGTAAATAATTATTTCTTTACCATTATTTATTGAAAGGGGCTGCTAAGCAGCATGTCTTCTGGTCACTGAAGTAACATTTAGAAAAATGTAAATAGCAACAGCTATGGAAAATGCTTTTGTGCTTGTCTGTGTGTACACATGGCAGAGCATGGTATGTCCTTTGCAGCACAATGAAATAGAATTGTGCCTAATTCCAATTTGTATGTCACTGCCATTAATGATGTCTAGTTAAGACATCTATTAAAGGTCTTTAATGTTAATTAACAGGACTATGCCAATAAAGTTCCATTAGCTTCCCTCTATTAATTTAGTATTATAGGCATTTAACAGATGTCTTAATTAGATATTACACTGATAGCTATAAGCAAAATGAAAATGAAGCCTTTGTCCTGCAGGAACAGTTTCTACTATCACTTAAGCTTTCTGCCAATTTGTTGGTATTTCCTTGTGGATTCTCACAGAGAACTAAGGGATTTCAGAGAATTTTGAGAGGAACAGTGCTTAAAAGGGAGATAGTTTGGGTGTAACAACTTGAATGCTCAACTAAGTGCCTGTTAACTTTAAAAGGACTCATGAACAAAATCCAAGTCCTTGATCAGCAATTATGAGTAACCACAAGCTCAGAAGAGATTCTGATTTCTGCCTGTGAGGTACTGTCCTGTTTTAAGTGCCTGTAGTTTAAGAAATGTCTCCCTTGCTTAGATGCATGTGTTCAGATAGAAGTCTCTCCTCCACTTCACTTCTTGTGTGTTTGCATTTTAACTATTACCCCAAACAATGTATTTTTCCATTTGGGTAGATAATTCTATGAAAAAAGCACAAACGGTTCCAGACTAAGATGAGAAAGTTACTGACCTTGGTATTTATCAGTCCTTGCAAGATGGATACGAAAACATTCCCTAGTGTGTAGTGGAAAACAATCTGGAAAGCATTATTGATACAGCATTATTGATACTCATGGAATGAGTTCTCATTGATCTGTCAGAACGCGATACCTTTTGCAACATAGAACACCTTTGTTGCTGACTTGGTACATGTGAAAGACTTTTGCCCAATGCTCTCTTTAGAAGGTCTTTCAGAGTAGCACAGATGTAGCTGAACAGGTAAAGATGGTAATCCAGGCACAATTACAGAAAAGCAGTTACCAGCTGCAGTCTCCTTATAGAGTAAAATAGGCAGATAGAGCCCGGTTCACACAGAAGGCAGCAGTAACAACTGTCAAAAAGGTTATAAGATATTCATTGCATAAATATGAAGTCAAAATTGAAACAAGCCAGGTAATCAGTACTAATCACAAGTTTAATAGAAAGCAGAACATTACACACAGTTTACAAAAAGATGCAACTAAGATTCCAGCAGTTTGACAGACTGCTTTAAAGACAGGAGAAACCATTCTTCAGTACGAAGAAAAACTTAAGAAAAGTTTCTACTAGTTAACTCTATTTTCAGTCTGCCAGAAAACCTGTTTATTAAACTGCAGGAAAACAGCAGACATCTTAAGTTTCCTTTTGATTTGCTATGAAATCATAGGTCAATAGTTCCTTTCAACTTGAACTTCTTTGCAGACCGCTCACTTGCTCGAAGCTGGAACTTGCTTCCATAGATGTAGGAAATGAATCCATCAGTCTCCAAGCTAAATACGTTGTTAATTTTGGGAACAACTGTAAATGCAGAAGAAATTAGCAAGAAGTGGGCTAATTAAAGCCCCTACTCTGAATAAATACTGATGCACCAGGGAATACTATTCGCATGCAGGCTTCAGGTCTGTAACATTTCAAGTTCTCATACTGCAGTACGAGAAATACAACCTAAGCCTCTACATTTAAAACCAAAACTGCTAGAACTTAGTCCTCTTTCACAAGCATGCATTAAGTGTTGCAGAGAACAATCTACAGTGAATCAGGTGAACAAGCCATGTGCATAATCATGTTGGAAATCACTGGAAGTGTTTGTTTTTTTTTTTTAAAACTACTTCTAAAATACATTTTTGGTACACTCTTTGGTACCATTTTTGGTACCACTCTTATGTGGTAGATAAAAGACATTAGCTTCTGTCACTAGGCAAAGAATTATATAAGAATTACATGAGCAGTGGTAAAGAACATTGTGTGCTTGTATGTTTGCTCAGAAGTATATTAACATTTGATAGATTTTTAGTTACTCACATTATAACAAACACTGAAAAACATTTTGCATACCTTTTAATTTGTTGTCTTTAGTAATAATTTTGAAGACATGTTTAAATTCCTGTAGAATTATTCCTGTTATCCCAACGTAAGATGGGCACTTGGATTTTGTGACTGCAAGAACAAGAGTATGCACGTATTAGAGTAAATTCAGGTGCAGTTTGCTTGCCATTCCATTGTTGCCTCATGATTTTAGAAGCTTGTTTTAGTAGTCTGAAGTAATGCAATTATAGTCATAACTGGTAGACTTGTAGTTAATCTTTGCAATAAAAGCAGTTGAAAAATTAAGTAGTGCTGGCAAATGGATAAAGACTCCAACACAATCACAGTTGTGTGATTCTAGAGTGTGATTCTAGATTCTCTCCTTTTAGAGAGATTCTAAAAGGAATTCAATGAGCACCTGAAACAAAGGAGAGTAACAAATTTCAGATAACTTTGTAGAATAAAGCAAACAATACCTGTAACAGCAGCTCCATGGAGGTCAGCTTTTAGCAGTTTGCTTTGAACCATCTGTGGTTGCCTTAAAGAAAAACAGATGGAAAAGTGTGTTTATAAAGTGTGACTGTGACTACTGAAATAATGGTCAAAGCTTACAGAAATAGTATATAATCCTTACTGAATAATTGACACAAGTTTATCCAGTTACTACTTGAAGTATCTTAAAACTGGTGGTGGTTAGATCAGTAGATATCTCAACTTACGCATCTGGTTTAAGTCCATAACATAGGTCTCTGATATACTGCTTCCAGAGTTCATGTAGTGGTAGAAAGAGTTCGTATCTGCAGTTAGAAGGCAAACATTATACAAGAACTTAGTTAAAAAAAACATTGCTTACTAAAACCATCTATAGAGTTAACAGTAACAAATCCAAATGTTGTCATCTGTGCTGATCACTTGGTAAACCAGTCCAAGTGACAAGTTTGTTTGTTTTTCATAAAAAAGCTGAATAGGCTCCTATGAAATCCAAAGGGGGTGGGGGGTAGGGAATGTGTTTCAGAACATTCTGCTCCTCTCCCTCCCCCTCACTTCATTTTAGGAGCAGCACAGGCCTTACTCAGCATGCATTGGGTCAAGGAACGCAGTGCAAAATGGAGGTTCTCTGCTTACAGCCAGTCTGGAGATTAGCACTGAAGTCACAGGTGGTTGTGTTTAGGAAGGGGAATTGCTCAGCGCTGAGTTAATCACACGGGCAGCCGGTACCAGCCGCGCCGTGGCAGTGCCGCACAGGGCGCCTTCTGGGGCCGGCCCACCGCACGGGGCGCAGGCTCACGCACCTCTGCTGCTCGGGCTCGATTTCAAACAGGCGCAGCTCCCGCCTCTGCTTGGCCGTGAAGGTTTTTGTTTTCCTCCTCTTCGGCTTTTTCCTCCTCCTGCAGCGGTGCTCCAGAACCACGGCCTTCCGCGTCAACACGTCCTGGATGGCTTCCTCCTTCTTCTTGGGCATGCTGCGCTTCAGGAAGGCGCTCACAAACGCTCTGGCCTCCTCTGACCCTTGGGGCTAAAAGTGTTTTAAAAACACTCTAAAACAGCCGTTATAATTAAATAAGAGCCAGGACGCCGGCGGGCAGTCCGCCGAGCTGCGGACGCCAGGGCAGCAGCGATGGTCAGACACGGTCGGGGTAAACGGGAGCAGTACCTGCAGGCGCAGCTCCTTCGCCGCCTCCTGGGGCAGCCCGTCATACAGCGCACCTGCGGGCAGAGAGCGGCGTCAACCCCCTCCATCCTCCCCATCCTCCTCCTCCCCCCGCCGCACTCACCCTCCATCGCTGTGCTCCGGCGCAGGCGGTGACGCGTGCGCGCTACCGGGGCGGGGAGCGTGAGCGTGGCTGCGTCCTCCCCCTCCCCCGCCGGTCCGGTAGGGGGCGCTGCAGGCGAGGCAGCCGCTAGAGCTGGTGGGTGGCGCTCTATCGAGCGGACGCCCCGCTTCCCAACGACGCGCTGCGTCCTGCGGAGTCACTGAGCGCAGCTCCCGGCGACGAGCTGTGCAGCAGCAGCAGCCCTGGGCTGAGCCCGGCCGACCCTGGAGCTGCCTGCACGTCAGCGCCTACAGTGGTGTGCTGCCTGCTGCTAGCTAGGTCTGTGCACCGCACCTGCGTTGTAGTGTAAGGATATACATCTGTGTGCACGTAGCGCCTCCTGCTCTCCGAGGGGTTTGCCTCTCCTGGGTTGCTGCACCTCTTGGGATAGAGCGCAGCCTGCTCTCCGTGCAGCACAGAGGTGCTCTGGAAGCAGCGCCGCCAATTCACCAGCCTGGCCAGCCAAATCCCAGCTCACGCTAAAATAAAAGAGGCATTTGTATTCCTGTCACGGGGTGAGCATCAGCCAACACGTAATCGAGTGCTGCCTGGGGAAGGAGACTTAGAGCTGCTCAGATAGAATGGAGAAAATGTGGCCATTTTGTTGAGTGCCGCTATGGAGCTCAAAGGTACTAAAGTGGTACGTAACAAGGAACAGAATTGCAGATAAGTGCGTGTATTTGGAGAGAAGAAAAGGTCAGTCTCTTCAGATTAATAAGTGTGAGGACTGGTTGGTGTAACAGTCAGAAAGATCAACACTATAGAAAGGTGATATAAGAGGTGCAATTATAAAGGGACTAACACGATAGAAAGGTGTTACAAGGGAAGGAATAAGGACTACTCACCTGCCTCTGAAGATCAAAGCTCACGGGGGAAAGCATCACCAAGGAGAGATCTCTAACCAGAGATCTTTCCTTTGAGGCAGTCAGCCCTAAAATGAGGTCTAAGAGAGGTGCAGCCAGGCTCCACCCTGAAGCTGAATTGCCTTCACCTGTGCTCCTGGGGCTGACCGAGTCCTTTCCACAGATGCTCAGTTGGTGGTTCAGGCCATGACTCAACAGTTACCATGCACTGTGTATGAAAGCTCTCCTGACAGTGAAGGATATTGCCACAGCAAGCAGGTCCCTTGGTTTTACAAAGCAGGGACTCCTTGAGTTGTCATTGCTATTTAAGAAAAGATCAGTTTTCGTGAATGGAGTACCAGGATGAACACTATGGGTCTTCAGGGCCGTATGAGTGCTCCTTGGCTGGATTTATGCTGCAGTTTCTAAGGCACTTAAGGGATTAATAGTCAAATCTGTGTTGGCGATGCCGCTGTAGTAAATCCAATGATCCAGGCTAAACAGGTGCCTGGGGAAGCCAGTCTCTTCCAACAGCTTTACATCTTCATTTCCCAATCTATCTTCAGAGACGTCTGAGGAAGCCGGGTCAGCTTGTTAGCGTGTGTCCCAGGGAAAGGGCTCTGAGCCAGGAGTGGGGCTCAATCAAATAAACATGAAAAAGAGCAGGAGGAGAAAGTAGAATACGTGGAAGCAGATTTTATAGATCAGTAAGAAAGAGAAGGCTCAGAGAAATTAGGGAAAGTGAGTAAAATGGGAATATAGAATAAAATCAAAGCAGAAATATCTAAGCAGAAGTGCAAATAATTATAATGCGTGTTTCTGAATGTACACTGTTACCTGCTCCACCTCTCTTAGTGTCATAGGCCTTTGGAGCTTTTTACTTTTTCAAACAAATCAGCATGAAAGCATGATACAAGTTTATGATCATATAAACCCCTAATATATAGTATTTATTCCACTTTACAATGGAACGTTGGCATTTCTTATTCCATTAAATCTGTGTATGGCTTTATTTATTGTGTTTTAAGTCTGTCTATGTATATGTAAAAATCCAACAGTGAACCACCATACGTGTGTACAGTAGGGGGCCGTGTTGCTTCGGCTGTGGGTGTGTTGAATTACAGTGGGTGATGGGAGAGACACGTGCAGGCTAAGGCAGGTAACAGCAATGTCCTGGGGGAATTTCCAGTGGGCACAGAAAGTTACAGGTGAGGTGCAGAGCATCCAGCTGCAGTAAATGAAGATGTTTGTATGACATAAGAATAGAAGATCAGAGTGTTGTTTGTTGTTCAAGAGTAATTGTGAACTGAAGCTGGAGATGGAGATGTGTGGAAGGTGTCTGGGCTGTAATCGTGGACATGCTTTTCTTGATTACAGCTGATACAAGAAATAGATACTGTAATTCTCCAGGAAGAGCGACTCAGCAAGCATTTGAGTTCTTAAGATCAATGTAATTTATTCCTCTTGGGCCAAATTGTATGAATCAAATTTGGTTCCGCTGGACAGGTGTACTGGTGAAAATAATTGCCTCTTTAAACCCTCCAATCTGATTTCCCTTATCCAAATACCAACTTGTTAATACATTTCCCAGCTCCTCCCCATTCTGCTGGCTGTGCTGAAGCAGTGTACAGCCAGCCTAATTCCCGTCTGCTTCTCAGCCCCTTTTCCACATCCTCCTTTCAGTCCAGCCAGCTGGGAGCACAGATCAGGCCATGCCAGCACTCCCAGGGCTCTGGCTGACTGTAACACGGCTGGCTTCCTTGTGGGTGCTGGGCTGCTTGGCCATGGTGTCCTGCCTGTGCTGTCACTGCTGTCCAGAGAGCCTGGGCTTGTGTGTGGAGTTGGGAAGGCAAGAGATAATCTCAGAATATGTTCAGAACTTTAAACGATTTAAAAGCTGGATTTTAAGCAAAGAAAGAAGCCAGCTGTTGGGACGCAGCTGGCTAGGCTGTGTAACGCCGCTCCTCGCCAGAGGGCAGCCCAGCACCGAGATCGGGGTGCCCACGGGGAGACACGGTGCCAGCCTGCTGCAGTGCTGCCTCTTGTGAACTGTCCAGGCCTGCTCCTACATGGGGCAGAACCCAGCTCTTTCAAGTATCGAGAGTTAATAATTGTTTTGTCCTTGGAGAAAATGTGGCTGTTTGCAGCTTCTTGTAGTGTACAGACGTCAAGTTCTCACGTACACTGGCCTCTTACATCACAGTAAAATTATCTATGGAAGGAGGCTTTGGGGGAATTCATTACTCTAAGGAAATGGTTTTTTTTAAACGCCGTTGTCTTTTCTATATCAAAATAATAAGCCATACCCTTCTTAAAAAATGAGAGCCTAGAACACCTGGTGGTAACTCCTGCAGAAGTGTGAAGTGCCTCGCGGGATGCTGAAAACAACGCTTGGTCCCAAAAACAGTAACGAGAAGTCAAAAGCTGAGCTGCTGGCAGCTGACGTTGGGCTTCCCTGTGTGCTGAGCTCACGGCTGGCACAGGCACGGCAGTGTGACAGACACTGCTGCTCCGCCCCAACAGCTTGTATTTCTAATTAATAGCAGCGTTCTGTACCCATGTGTTAAGCCGTGGCAGTCTGTCTTGGGGTTGCTATTTTTGCTGTCTTTAATTTTTGAGTCTTAAATCTTGTGTAATATTTTATTTTTAAACATGGCAAATACTGGCTTGTATTGCGGTAGGGATGCGTCACACAAAATGAGTATTAAGTAAAAATGATAAAGTAATAGAGGTCACTGGAGCTATAGCAGATTGAATTGCTTTATGATGTATTTCATTTGGTTTTGGTCAAACTACATTAAATTAACATGATTAAAATTTGAGGTATAAAAATGAAAAGGTTTGAGGCTCAAAAACATCCATTACATTGGGTTTTTCATCAAAGAGAAGTTTATACCTTTTTCTCTAGGAAATGGTTGTCAAATTCTTCAGGTCTGCATGATACAGTGTGGTTGTGTTGACTGTGCACTTTCCCAATGGTAACTGCTGGCCAAAGATGCATTACATCATCCTGTGCATCACTCTGTAGGGCGCAGGAGCCTGCTGTGCAGTGTTGGGAGAGCATTCCCTGGCTGAAGGCAGCTGTGCTCCCAGGGTGAGGACAGCCCCTGCCCCATTGGCCGGCCTGCAGCTTGGGGATCTGGGCTGAAATCCCAGGAAATTTGAAAAGATTCATTAGTTAGAGACAAATTTCTCATCTTTGCTCTGTAATGAGGCATCCATCTCCGAGGCATTGCTAGCTGGCAAGGCCCTGTTCCTGCCAGACTCTTTCAGAGTAACACAATTAGGCTGTCAGGACTGACATTATTTTTAATAAAACGAGTCAGCTGGCACTGTCCTTGTCGAAGAGATGCATTTCCAAGTCCACGCTAATAAAGGCGTCAAGTGCCAAGGCAGCCGGTATCTTTAGGTCCCGCAGGTTTGAACGTGCCTGTCACAGTTCCCCGGGGTGCACTGAGTCCTGCCCGCCTTGTGTGTGTGGCCCTGGAACTGGGGCTGAACAAGATTCGTGGAAAGGCACTGCCCCCACAAAGCAGCTTCTGAAGAGCCTTGCAGCAGTGGTGCAGCTGGCTGACCTGTCACGTCATGGCCCCCAGCACCCGGGCTGTGTGCTGAGCTGCTGGCAGAGAGGGAGGGTGGCAGCTCACAGCAAGCCTTGCTGTCAGGGGAGTGCTTACAGGGCACAGTCAATTACCAGGGATAGCTGTAACAGCAGTGCCTATACTGGGAACTCGTTTAGGCTGAGGTTATTTCAGTGTTGCTTGTAAATATATTAGCTTTTTAAGACCAATTATAAAGGTGTCAGTGGCAGTGGAACCACTGGCCCAGAACATGGTGGAGGAATTCAGGCAGATCCCACTCAGTGGAGTGCAGCTATGGCACTGATCTACATGCTTGGGTGTCAAAACTGTATTTCCACGTTTGTGTACAAGGAAAAAAGGAAAGGAAACACATCAAAGGAGCTGATGGGTTTGCTTTCTGCTGTGGGCACGCTCGTTAGTAAGGGTGCTCAGGGCAGGCAGCTGCCAGGACCCATTGGAAAGCTTTCATCTCCCTGCGTGCAGTCTGATTTCCTCTGAAGTGAAGGTGTGTGCCGGGCACTGAGGGGGTTAATGCTGCTGTGCTGCTTTGATAATTGAACAGACCAAAAATGCTTGTTTGAGTTCAGTGCTTCAGTAAGAACCTTTCCTTTAAAAAAAGTGCAACACAAAACCCCGCAGCCTCATACAACAGAGAATACTTTGTCCATCTCTTTGGGAGAAATCTGATAAACCAGGGTGAGAGGCAGGTGTCCAAAGAGATAAAAGTAATAACTGTGGCCATGGTTCTAGAGAGAGCTAGCCTGTCAGGCGTTTAATTAAATGAAGTTCCTGCTCAGGAAATGCTGGAAGCTAATAGATATACGGCAATTCATTCGCCTTAGCAATATATGTTAATTTTAGCATGAGGTGAATTTATATATTTTGCAGTGGGGAAGACCTGGGGGGCAGGCTTTCATCCTGCCAGTAGTGGGTTTTTTCAGGAGGTAGAGACTACTGAGCGCTTTGTACTTCCTAAAAACAGAATGGGGGTGAGAATGGCTGAGCGAATGGTTTTGGTTTAGCCTCTAAACAGAATTGACTAATCACAGACTCATAACCGAGCTGACCCATGTTTGCTGTTGCCACGGGTCAGTGAGCACAGAGCCCTGGCTAACAAACACCTTGAGCCCAAGTCTCTTCTGCATTAGTTTAGCTTAAAAGGATTTTTCTCTGTGTTACATTTGTGTGAAATTAGGACTGCTGCAATGGCATGTGGCACCTAAGGTCAAAGATGCTTTGGTAGAGGCACAGAGGAGATGCAGTGCAGGAGTAAGGATTCTATGATTCTGTGACTCTATTCTATGACTGCCTTGTATGTAAAACCGCTCCTGCAATCTGAATTTGGGGTGGGTTGTTGCTGGAAGTAACGATGAAGTCTCTGTTCGGGTCCCACCAGCTCTGGCACTGCAGCGCTTGCTGCTGAGCTGCCCCCTGGTTTGTGGCAGTGTGTTGTGGAGCAGTTCTTTGGTGTGTGGGGGGCCTCGGACAGCCAGGTCCTTCTTGATGCTTCCAGGTGTGGTACCAAGGGCACCACTACAGTTGTTTCAACTTGGAAACACACTGCAGCACAGCAGGCTGCTTTCTGAAAACAGAATCCTCTGATCTGTGAAATTATCAGCAGTGAGACTGCAGAACAGAACACAGATATTAGTTTATTTTCTTCTGTTTTGTTTGTTTGTTTGTTTGTTTTTGTGGAAGAATACTCCCTTGCTCTTCAGCATGATTACAGCCCATTTAGCAACAGTTCTTTTTGAATTTCAGACCTATTTTGGAACAGTCATAAGCAAGACGTGTTTCTTTTCAGAGCCCAGTGCAGTCAGTCCAAGGGTAAAGTTTATTTAACAAAAAACATCTTTCCAGTTGAATGCACATTGTGAAATTACAGGTCCATTTAAAGCAAAAGAAAAACAGTGGCAGGTTAGGGTCAGGAAGGAGGATAATGACATCTGCTGCAAAGAGTGTTTGACAACTGCCTTCAAAATTTTAAGTTTCTATCAGACATTTTTCCTTTCTTTGTATAGTTATGCAAAAGAATAAAACTGAAAGAAATGTATGGATGCTGAAAGCAAGCTTGAGGCTTGTTCAGCCACACAAATTCCAAATGGAGACATTATAAATGATGTTTCAAATGCCAGCGGATTGCAGAGCTGCGGGCTCTTTCCTCGTGTCATGGATGGGGTCAGGTTTGTGCCCCCTGCCCAGGCGTGGCTGCAGGGCAGTGCTCAGCATGGGAGCCGTCCCCATGGGGTGCCCTGTCTGTGCCAGCCTCGCATTGCAGCCTGTCCTGATCCCACAAAAGTCAGCTCCATCCTTTTGGCTCCATACTGCAGCTGTCAAAATGCACGTTGTTTTTTTTTTTTTCTTTCTAAGTGGGAAAAAGGATTGCTACCAGCTTTTTGTAATAATACCTGAAATGTACTTTGCTCTTGCCACCCTTGCTAATGCGACTGCTTTCTACTTTATCTTCCAGGTTCTGTGCTTCTGCCCTTGCTCCGTGGGAACCCTGACTGCACTAGCAAAATGAAGGAAGGTGAGCTAGAAAAAAAGCCCTCTCTAGAGCCTGGGGAATTACCTGTGGCCTGTTGAGATTATCAAAGAGACCTATAGAGATTTTAAGATACTTTGGGGCATTGCTTCAGTGTATCTCTGTCTTGGCACTGCTGAATCCTGCTGAGCCCTGAAAACCTATTTGAAGGAGAAAGTGCTTATGGTTGGTCTTTTCTTGTAAGTTAACAACAATAATGATACAGTTGTTTCACCTATTCTTTCCTTGTCTTTCATGTAACAATTCCAAGCTCCAGAGCTGGCCTCTTTTTGCTGGCCACACACTCAGGGTTGGTTCTGGGGATAGAAAAGGGGAATGTTTAAGTTGCAAGTGAAGATACATTGCCTGAAAATGACAGCTAAAGTGTGCTTCAGCTTGGTAGCACCCTGAAATGTTTGTGCTATGAACACAGGCAGCCAACAAACAAACCAGTTTGAGCCTCTTTTTCTCCCTGAGCATTGGAGGAGCTGGTTCTGCCCACCTCCAGCACACTTCAGGCCCAGCACAGCACTCACTGCAGCTCCACTTCAGGTCCTGGTGCTGCCAAGGGCTGAGGGCTCACAACTGGCTGAGCTTCACACATGGCACCATGATTTACTAAACCGCTAAGATATTAGGTCAGCATTGTAAATCATTTTAATTATTTCACTAAACAGGTTGCGGAGATAGATCAATAGAAAATATAGCATTGAGCCTCACAATGCTGCACATTCATTATGGGAATGTAATTATATTAACTGATTTAGGATCTAATAATAACTGAAAATAACAATTTAATGGATGCTTTCCAATCCTACACTTTGAAAGCAGGATACAGCTGTACACAATCTACACATTCTAATCTCAGTCAAATATACGTAGCAATTTTTTGACTCTCAGAGAAACATCAGTCAAGTGCAAGTAACTGGGAAAATTGTAGCATCCCATATATTACATTATAATAAAATAGAAAAGAAACATTCAACAGCATTTTTATATACTGGCAGGGTCACATGAACCAGTCACATGAAAAATAAGAAGATGCATCGCAATATAATAAAGTAGAGATCTTGCACACTGGGAGCTATTTTCCACTTGCAATTACCATTGCCATGAGACTACTTTGTGCTGCTGGGCTTAAGGGGTATGTACTTCTCTCAAGATGTTGGGTTTGGTCTGAGGCAGCTGAATAAAAAATATACTGTGTATATATATGAAATATTTATGGAAAGAACCTAATCTCTCCTGAGCAGCGATAGCCAGGTGCTACCATTCATTAGTCAGGGTCAGCATTTCTCTGTTACAGTTATTACTGTGGCTACACTGAATTTCGTTCACTATGTCCTGGTTTTTTGTTAATATGTGCACAGGAGTCACCTGTGCTGTTCAAAGTATTTTCTTTTGAAATAAGCTGTGCATTGTGGCTATTTAATACCTTAACGGCCATTGACTGAGTATACTGAACCAAGCAGGCATGACTTGGGCAGAATTTAAGCTGCGGTCAGATAGTGCACCTGTGTTACCTGCTCTTTTGAAAGCCTGCAGCCTGCAGATAGGCAGTTGTCACATCAGCTATCTGCACTCTGTTTTGCAGAGAGAGGTAAGCTTTTCTTTAAGCCCTCAGGCTAGATAGCATTGAATTATGCACTTTATCACAACCCAGTTAGGTAGATGCATGGGAAAAATCATTTTCAGTGAGTTTATTTGGGAAAAGACCTTATTTTGCTATTTGGCTCAGCATATGAAGGAAAAACCTGCAGTTTTCTTCTGACTTAGAGGAGCTTGTTTTAGAGCAGAGTGGAAGTTTGAGCCATGGGCAAATTGTGCTGCTCCTGCTTATTCAGCTGTCTCCTTGATCTAAGCTTCATCTGGCTTTTGGGAACATAGGTTGCTCAAATAAAAATAAATGGCTTTGGCATGACCGCAGAACTGACGTTAATGCATTCCCTGCACAGGCTGTTAGCTGTCTCCTACTTCAGTGATCCTGCAGCAGGTGAGGTTCAGTGTCCGCAGGTAAAAGCTCCGTGCAGGCTCCCACATCACATCCCCTCCTCCCTTACCGTTTTGTAGTGACATTCCCAGCTGTAAACAGATCAGACGGAGATTTTTCCCAGGCTCTATAAATGCCAGCAGCAACAGAAGCTCTGGATAAAGGGAAACGTGCTGCGTGGAACACATGGTGTTTTCATGGCTGAACACTGAGCAGTCCTTTGTCTGGTGCTGCTCCAAGAAATGGCAGTGGTAAGGTTTGAATTATCCCTGGGTAATGATCCTAAACTTAGTTGACTTTCCCGTGCACATTTATGACTGCACTGACAAATGCTTCCTGAACCCAGCAAAGCTCCAGGTATTTGCTTCTGAGATTATTTGTTCTAGCGAAATACTTTAGTCTAGAGTAAGTAGCATAACACCTATCTAGTTTCAAACTAATTAACTCCTGGGTTAATAAAAGGATTTTATGTTCTTGAAAAATATTGAATTTTTTTTTAACTTTAGACTTTGTACACTGTAGCAACTTGAATCCAATTTCATTGGATAAGTCTTGCTGTTAAATCACATTGCAGTTCAGATTTTGACAGGTGCATACCGTGTGTTTCTGAACTCCTATTTGTTTTTAGTTGAGCTCCCACAGTTCTGGATGCAAAGGTTAGGCTTTGTTCTTCATCTCTCTACGTGCTGAAGAAACTGCAAGGTAGCCAAACCTACAAACTCACAACTGGATCAGAGCACCAGTACATACTTAATTTTGTGTTTTTTTCTGCCTTGTCAAACCCTGCTTACTTCCCTGGGGACTGAAATGCCAGTATTATTAATTATTAAAGGAGTCATACAAAAGAATTCACTAAATAAGAAGTTTCACTGCTGACTTCAGTAGGAATTTAAGCTTAGTTAGATTAACTAGTGTTTCTTTAATCAGCTTGTACATTTTCATTGTTGCATTTGATAGTTTGTCTTGCAGCCTTTCTTGACTTTTCCTCAAGGCAGTGGGCATCACTGACAGGCACAGTTCAATCTAGACCTCCACTCAGTATTATTCCTTGGCCTGACTGAGATGTAAATGTGCACCCTGTGTCCTTACCCAAAGATTTTTCAGCACTCCCAAGCAAGTGCAGCTCCCCAGCTGACACACTGCTCAGCATAGCTGGGGCAAGGCAAGCTGATTAGGTGCTTCCAGCTTTCCAGAGCTCAGAGCAATGTATGTTCACGTGTGGTAAAATAAAAGCATGGGTTGTTTCAACCACATCCCAGTTCCTGTTGGGAGTCACAAAACTGCTCAGCTTAAGTACAGAAAGCAGGCTTTAAATTCCTCAGGCAGTTGAAGGCGCCTTCGAGATCTAATACAGGTGACTTTTCCTTGTGTTTCTGTTACCTTTGCTGGCTCCAGGCTGGGGAGGAGCTCTCCTCCCAAAACAGCGTGGGAGACTGAGAGGCTCCTGGGATGCACCAGGCACAGCTCTGGGAACCTGGCAGTTCAGGCCCACCACTATCCTTTAGTGCAGAGGGGATTTGGGTAAGCTGAGAAGAAAAACTGAATCCTTACTCATCACACTGGTGATGCTCTAGAGAACCCAGAGGACTCATTCTCCCAGTACAACTCTTAGTGCCTTCTCTAGTTTCTCAGAGCAATGACTGCCAAAGGCTGCCTTGTGCCATGGGAGGCCACACATCCCAAGACATAACTGAGGTATTGCACCCTTGGTGTTCATTTCTAGGTGCGAGCAACCCACCATGCTGCTCTTCTGGGGAGGGAGAATGAAACAAACCCCCCTTCTTCTTTCACACTCCGACAGCGTAGAAGCTCCCATGGGGCCAATGACATTTTCAGATCTGCAAAGAGCAGCTGATTAATGACACACTGACACATTCAGTCACACAGATCACTTCTGACAACTCTGGAAGCACTGAAATGCAGCTGTCCTGGACAAGTAAATAAATTACATGTTAAGGGGAGGCTCTGACATGGAAATTCAGAGCTAAATCTTATGTTTATGGTAGACTAAGCATCTTTGAGTTATTTATTGAGACCTTGTTCATTTAATTTTTATTAAAGATGATTTTACATATGAGATTTAAGAATCATTTTAACAGTAACAGGAAGACAAATCTACAGCCAACAACGAGGACAATCCGTTAGCAGATCTCTTTGATTCAGCTTTACTATGACTGATTTGTTTAGAATGCCCAAAATGCCTATAGTTATTATAAGGCTAACAGACAACAAAGGTAAAATAGAAAACTTCAGTTCGTTGGTTAACATTGGCATAGATGCTAAGAAAAGGCCATTTTTTCTAGTCATGTTTTGTACTGTCAGTGATGCAGATCTCAACCAAATTACTTTTCCTGGCTGGCTCTACTTACAGTAAAATCCATCTTTTACTTAAGAGACGTTGTTGGGTTTCAGAAAGATGATCTAAAAAAGAATGCCACCCTTCTTTTCTGCCTTGTCAAGCCCAGGGCTGTGCCTGGGGAACAGGCGTGCAGCACTGCAGCCCTCGTGCCTTGCTGGGTTTCTCCCAGCCTTACTCCCACTCCCTTCACTTCAGGACCAGGTAACTTTGCTGTGGTAACCAGGTAACTACAGCTCCTGTGTGGATTAAAACAAAACACTTCCCTGTGTGCAGCCCCCAGCTCTGCCTTTTACAGAGCCTGCATTTCCCGTGCATTTTGCTAGCGAACAAAAACACCAGAGAAGCCCAAAATTGTGAAAAGAAAATCCCATGAGGATTTTTACCATCCAAACAGTTTTAATCAATCAGGATAATTTGTGTATATTGGTATCTAAGTTCTCTCCCAGGGCGTGTAGCATGGTTCCTCCCTTAGCTGGTGGTGCAGATGCCCAGAGCTGCACCAGGCTGCAGGGCTGAGGGCTGGGAGAGCCCATCCTCTCAGGGAAGGAGCAGCTGCTGGAATCAGGTAAGCACATTCACTGCAATTTCATATTCCCACCACACCCCTCCAATCAGTCTTTGCTAAAAAGCACTAATTAAGACTTGAGCATTTTTGATTCCATCAGTTTTCTGTTCTTTTCTTTATTAAATAGATGTACTGGAGGGAGCTTGACTAATAACTGCTCAAAGTTTAAGGATAATGAATCAATGGACTTGGGCAGCCTCTGGCTAAGCATGAAATTTACCATGGAGTAACAAATGCAGCAGAGGCAGCTCATACATTAACCAGCCCAGTTCTGACACACAACTTTGGGGGCACGTTATTTATTTTCTTAGTAATGCCACATGAGACGTGTGGAACGTCCAAAATGTTTTACGGAAGAAGTGGAGAAATGGCACAGTTAGTTTCCTACATTCTGTGTGTGTGCACCCCTCCATCACCCACCTTTCCCTTCGGTGTGTTGCGTACCTGGCAGTAGGCAATTCTACTTTTTCCTTGCAAGGCCTTGGCATCTTGAAGGTGATCCATGTGGTGTAAAATCTGCTTTTGTTCCACTTATTTTTACATGTGCATGGCTCTAACATTAGATCTATTATGCTGTTGTAAATCCATTCATTTTTGTTGGAATCCATTAACTTGCAGTGAATTTATAGCAGTATAACTGTGAGCAAACTATGGCTGATGGCACAGGCTGGAAATATTACAAGGAAAAGTGCAAAGTTCTATTGATTTTCTCTCAGGAAAAATGTGTGTTTCCTTATGATTATATTACAGATGACTCAGCTCTGGCCCCTCGCAGCCATCGCTCACGCTTCCCAGCTCAGCCGTTGCTGGCATTGCAGGCGTGCTGTCTCCTGCTGCAAGGAGCAGGGGCCAGGGGCTGCCTCCCCCCGCTGCCTGGGGACACGGCCAGGCCACTGCCAGTGCTGGGGGAGCTCCTGCCTGGCTCCGTGCTGGTCTGCTCTGTCCCTCGACGGCTCTGCAGTCCGAGCACTCGCTCCTAATCGATTCTGACAGCAGACACCAGTAGGAATGCTGAGATTTATGAAAGAGCAAGAATTGCCACTAGCCTCTGTCCATTAAGGGTACAGCAAAAACTGCCTTTGCCCTTTGTAAATATAATCAGCAGAAGTGAGGCAGCTGCCCTTTTCAGAAAAGCGAGTGCTCAGGACAGATGTTTTAGCAAAAGCCCTTAATGCACTCACAGGCAATAAGGCTACCAATTCTGTACTTCTTTTCCAACAAAATTTCGCTCATTCTTTTGAGTGCTCCTGGAAGACCAAATTGCATACCAAAGTTGCAGCCTCCCTTTTCAGCTTGTTGTTTCCCCAAACATAGACTGAGTATTGGCAAAAAAAAAAAGCTGAATGAAATGTAGAAGCAAAGACCCCAAAACCTGGAGGACTCCTTCCATGTGTTTTTGAATGTTGAGGCAGCTTCTCTTGGCAAGGCGCTCTCTTGTCGAAGTTCTGTTTGCTGGGAATGAGTAACCTCTGTATGTGTGTTCCTCAGTGGAAGGAAAAGCAGCCTGCTGCTCTTGTTAGATTTCTCATCAGAGCCTCAGGTTGTTGTTCAGTAGTGCTGAGGTTGTACTGTGAGTGAATGAGAATACAGGAATTGTTATTCCTGCAGCAGCATACAATTCTGATCTCAGAGAACAGTGCTACACTTAGTTGCAGATTTAATACTTTTTTGCTTTCAGTACGATTAAGATCAAAAGGATCTTGTTAATTCTACTCCTTTTGCTGCACACAACTTCCACATTCTGTCACATGCCTACACAGGTAACAGTCTACAGTATGAGGGGAATGACAAATGCGAGATAACGCATTTCCTCCCAGATTTGCTGCAAAGCACGCAGTATGCAATTCAAGAAATAACACAGCCTGTTTGTTAGTGATGAAACAAAAGTATCAGGGCAAAGCAACTGATCTCATTACCAACAGACCACACTGAGGTACAGTCAGAATGAATAAAAGCATCACTGTTAACTCCTAGACAGGCTCTGCAACTTCAAGTTTCAGCTGTTTATTCAGATAAATTTAGACAGATGTATTTCTTCCTCTTGTGGAAAAATTTGTTAGGGTTTTTTCTCTTAGAAGGAAGGCAGGTCACTGAGAAATACTTACTGCCCTTGAGAAAAAGCAGCAGGGATGAGCTCACCAGGACACACAGTTCAAACCTGGGCAGGTTTCCCTTCCATCACCAGCCATTACTCAAAAGCTCCGTGCTCCTGTGACATGGCAGGCTCCATGCAGAGCCCCGCCTTCAGCGGTTGTCCTTGAACAAGTTTCCAGACAAGGATTAAACGTCAGAGTTAATTGTGGCAGGGACCAGCACTCCAGTCTTTTTCTACCTGCCGTTTCCTTTCACGCTGTGAAGCGCTCACCCTGCTCTGCACACACGGGCAGGATGGAGCTGGGCACCAGCTCACACGGGCACCTCCCGGCTCGCAGCAGATATCTCCCCACGTCCTTCTGTACAGCACTTCTGCTTTCAGTGAGATGATGATGGATTATTCCCCAATCCGGAGGATACAACAGGAATTAAGAGGATGAAAATTCTTATAAAAAAATTTATCACCTGCAGATCCCTACGGTGAGTCCGCCCCAGAGCAGGAGGGCTTCTCATTGTGCCAGTGCAGCAGCACGCAGGGAACACAGACGTGTTTTGGTCTCACACTTATGAGATGTGGGCAGCACAAGTCCCTCACTATGACTGGCAATCCTAGGAAAAGCAAATGCTGACCATCTGAGAAACTGAAACCCCCTTCCTATCCTCTCCTAGAAGGGGAGCATGAGCTGAGGCAGCCAGCATGTCCTGCTTTTGCTCCACGCCTTCTGCTGACAGTCTGCTGGCACCGTACCTGTCTCTACCATTTCCACAATTAAGGTCCTTTCTAGAATGCCACATAAATGACAGGACAAGAACCACAGTCAGGCACAGGAGATTTCAAAGTGCTTCAATAAATGCAGCTAAAGAAAGTTGTGATTCCTTGCCAGGTTATCCCATTATACACAAAACAACAGGCATTTTGAACAAAAATTAATTAACTCTATTTACTGTAGAAAAGCATTTGGTTCATAAGAACAAACTCTTGCTAAGAAAAAGTACACAACTATGTAATCCTAAAAAACTGAATATATTTTAAACCACTACTGGAACAAAGTCTGAACAAAGTTCCAGAAGAACTTACTTACCTTGGAAGTGTCAGGCTGGCACACAGAGCCCATGATGTGCCCCAGCTCCCCAGCAGCCCACAGCAGTGGCCGCACCGTGCTACAGCTGCAGCACACAGCGGCACGGGGCCGTGCGAGTGCAGCCAGTTCATCTGCTGGGCACCACCTCTCCTCGGCTGTGCTGGGACGAGTTAGGGAATGGGACACAGCCACAAATCCTCCTCAGAACAATGGGAAAGTCACACACAGCTGCAGAAACTTTATTTCAAAATCTTTTTATTCAACTGTTATTCAGCAATATACAATACAGTTTATAAACAAATGTCTTACCTTGTTTCCAATCTTCATTTAAAAATAAATATTATCAGCAGTGCCTATTAATTATGGTAAGATGTACCTTTTCAATTAAAATGTCTCCAAAAGAAATAATTTAATTAAAAAAAAAAAAAGAAAAAAAGAAAAAGGAAATTCAGAAAAACTAAACACAATCTACTAAGAATATTTCCTTTCTTAGGAAGGGTTTTGACCCAGCATCTTTACATACTGTCATAAAGATAACTGCTCAACAGTTCGTGCAAAATGAAGAGTCTGAAGAGTCAGAGGAAAGGTTTAGAAAAGAAAAATATTACATTAAAATAGAGAAACCATAGGTGCTGTGCACAGAGCAGGGCCTTACACCATAGGGTCTGGAAACTAGATGCATTATTTTTTGTGGTTTACCTTCTGTGACATCCCCAAAAATATGTTTTCCCCTCATGTGGAATTTATCATGCTTCTTTCAGTCTCTTTCTGTCCATCCTTCCAGCTGTGGGCAATGTTTTGTCAGGGGCTTGTCCTGTTCTTAAATAGGTTCCTTTTGTTTGGCTGAGGAGTAGTGAAGGAAGTAGTCCATCAGTGGTTTACTAATAAATGTACAAGATTATGCAGTATTAACAGGAACATGTATAGGAGTGGGTCTGTAGCATAAATAGGTCCTGTGCCTAGAAAAAGAGACAAGGGAAAGAAGGAGATTTTATTTTTTATCTTTTCCAATACAGAAGATTAAACGCAGAAGAGAAATACAGGAAGATTTATTTTTATCACATCAGAGCCAGGGCTCAGAAGCTTAATTTTAATAGTAAAACAGTATCCTCAAGCTATCCAACTCTAATAGCTTTCTCTTCCCCTTCCTAAATCTAACTCCACTCAGGTCATTTCATTATGCATCACTAATGGTATGCCTAAACTTGGCTGTGGCCAAGTTACCAGCAATTGAGATTTCTATTTCTATACACCTTAATCTGGTATATAGTTTCTTGGGAAATGACAGGTATCAACCACCCATTATTTTAAAGGGAAATGACAAATGCTGCAGCCGCGCTCCTTGATTAACAGGACACGAACCCATTTCATTTGGAATGGGAACAGCAAGCCCTTGACATCTTCTTTACCTTCTATAGGAAAGAGCAGAATTTTAAATTAAAAACGTGCACAGGAACTACAGAAAAACAGAGGTCAGGTGTGAAACACATCCCTTACAGACACTTGGTCCTAATGGCAGGATTGCTCGCTCTCCTATGAGGTAAGCTCATGTGACGCAGGGGGGGCAGGGCAGCAGTGGCACACTGCAGGGGATGCTGCAGGTAGGGCAGGCACCCGTGCATTGGCTCACACCAAGAAATGCCATCAGAGTCTGTGCTGCAACTGAACAGGCTGTACCTGCCTCCTATCTGCTCACACTACGATATTTGCTGTTTTTTTTATTTTCTAGTTACCCATGCCAAAGAGAGAGGAATTTACTGTGTACCACTGTGGTCCAACCTCACCAGTGCAGGAGGCTGAGCCCTGGGGCCCAGGTGCACAGCTCCAGCTCTGTCAGCCATGGTGAGGCCCCAGCACTGATGTAGGTCACACTTCACACTGGACCAGCACGGCAGAAATCCCATGCAGAAGCTGTGCCATCCTGGCACGGCCTGCAGCAATGCAGCAGGACAAAAGGTTGCTGCCATTCACTCCCCCAAGCCCTGCTGAGCAGACAGATGAGCCTGGACTGGTCCACAACCACAGGTGATTGGGCCCCCAAATGCCAGCAAGTGCCACCTTTCACATCCGGCAATGTGGAGTTGCATGTATGGTTGTCACCAACACTGTGATGTGACAGCATATCGGGCTGCACACTGTGACTGATGCGTTGTGTGCCCTTGGGCTGCTTCCACCAGGGTGAACACAGAGGCAGGAGGCCAGCTGCAGCCTCACACCACAGCTAGCATGAGAGCTGCGTCAGGGCAGCCTGCAGACTGAGCACCAGAGTTCCCAGTACCCAAAGCACAGACAGCCAACCAGAAAAGTGACCTCAGAACCACTTCTTAATGTACTGAAGTTATTATTTTTTATGCTCAGTATCCTTGAAAAAAGCAATGAGGCCAATTCTGTTTAGGAAACTCACCTCAGGCAAATACCTCACATACCTTAGTCTTGGTCTCAAGGAGGCGAATGTCTCTGCTGTGGCATGATCAGAGGAAATACCTCAAGATCCTGAGAACACAACTGCTCAGGCAGCCTCATATATATGCCTCACCAGCAAAGCTAGAGTATTATTATCCAATATAAAAACCAGCTCACTGTAATGTGTTGTGCAACTGAGGAACTCAACTATTGTCCCCATAGTGTGCTATCTCATAGACACCTAGACTGTAGAGATTATTTAGTTATTAAGGTTTTAATTAAGTCCTTGCATGCAGACACATGTGGCAAAGGGCTGCCTACTTAGCAACAGCAGGTTATTAAGACGAATACAGGATTTTTCTTTTTAAAGCTGAATATCATGAACTAACACAACTCAGGTAGCTAAAGCAACTAGTAAATTCTTGTAAAAAAAATTAAATAGGAATGTGTGCAGGAGCACAGCAGCTGCTGAAGCTCGTGGTCCTGGGCAGCACACTGGACAGACCATCACCAGCCCCCACACTTGCTCACTGCTCAGATTTGCCCTCACTGCCGTAGAGCCCAGCCCTAGGGAGCTGAGCACAGGGAGGTTCTGCCCTGGAGACGGCAGGCAGGAAAAGCAGCCCCTTCCTGCACCAGGAGGGCAATGCAGCAGATCCCAGCAGCGAGCCCTCGCACCACTGCTGCTGGGATGGAGGCTGCTGCCAATATGAGTGAGCCTTCCCAGCATGTTTCACATCTGTCCTCTGCTGCAAACAGAACGTTTATTGAAGCAGCAGAAGCCGAGAAGTGAGTAACAAACCTCTTTAGACATCTCTGGACTCTTTAAAAGTGGAGGGGAAACACATCAGGAGTCTTCACGGTACTCTAAGTACGTCTCCATATTTGCAACGCTGCCGTGCCCCATTTCTCATTTCAGACCTGCCATGGGCAGCAGCTAGCACACTTCTGGCAGGCAGGACATCACCTCAGGAACACACAGCATAGCACTACCTGAAGGGTGGCAGCGTGCACACAACGTACTGGGCCCAGCTGCCCCTTGCACACCGTGACTCCCTGCAATTCCCTTTGCTTCCCTATCATCACAGCAGAACATCAGACCTAACAAACTGTCCACATACCAACACAGCCCTGAGACAAAGTGGTGTCCTGGTGACACCGGCTGCAGCATGGTGTTTTGCAGGGCACATGGCACATCTTCCCTCTTCAGGGAAGGATCTGAGCTATCAGATCGAGCAAGAACCTTGCAAGGCCAGTCAGCCTCCCCCAGCCCACGTCTGCTAACACAGCATCTCCAAGCACAGATTGGATCTGCTCCTCTGGCACACATGGACACAGCTGCAAACACTATGCATTTATTTCTATGTACATGAATGCTGTCTAGCCTCATTATTTTTCCTTAGAAACATACAGTCAATTCACTAACGTATTCTATAGTTTTAGCAGGGATAAAACCTTAAAAACAAACCTACCTGCACCACATAGAGAAAACTGAATGGAGAGGGCTGAAGTTGAAGGCCTATCTTCTTTTTTTGAGTCTGACACACTGCAGGATATCTGAAGGCAGAGTGCTTAATCACAGATTGCAGTCACTGACATGACAGACCCATAACTGCAGCCAACACATCCCCATTTCCAAGCTCACCTCTGGGTCACAGCACAGCTGCAAGCACAAGCCCAAGTTGCTACCCCTGTGCTGAGAACAGTGAGGGCAGCCTGGCAGAAGCCAGCATTCCTGGCAGCTGCACTCAGAGGTGCCGAATTTCCACCAGCTTTGTACCTGCCCACCACTGCAGTGAAGATCTGGCCATCAGTATTTGTTCAAATGTAAATGCCATGAAGACCCCTTTCTCCATGGCAAAGCTGAACTTGGTTTTCTCAGCACAGAACTCCAGTCACAGTGTGTGCTGCCAGTTACTCAGGAAGAAAGCTGCACTTCTGTAGGGGGGTAATTCCCCTGGAAACACTAACGAACAGAACGTGGTGTAATTGGCTCTCACAGCTAACGACCATCATCAAACTGAAGGGCTGCAAAGGACACCAGGTGAAGGCTGTTTGTATTGGAATGGAAAGCAGCGTTAGTCACAGCACACCTGCCACCCCAAATCATGTCAGTTGTAGCTTCACGTACCAGCTTAGTTTAAATCTCAATGCAGAGCTAAGAATTAATGCAAAAATTATTTTTTCTTTCTCTTTTGCAGAAATTGCTGTTACTTTTAAGCTACGTTCTCCATCTTCTTAATGTGGATGCAGAACTGGAGTTCAAAGACTGTTAACAGAATCTCAGTGGTTAAATAAAAGTGAAATGTATTTTTACAAATCATTTTTAAGTTATTCTTACCAAACACCGACGACAAGTTTTGTTTTTTCCATACCAATTCAGTGTTACTGTGCTGTAATACATTGGGCAGCAAAAGCAGACACACAGGACTGTAGAATTCTTCCGCTCTGAACACAAGGAGAACTGTTATTAATTTCTCCCTGCGCAGTTAACCTGAAGCACTTTCATTATAGCTCACATTGCTTATAAACAAGCTGGACTTCGTGTCCTCAATCCTGCTTTTAGTGCCTCGGTGAAAGTTTTGACTTGTGTTAATACATTGCTGCGTTTGCAGATGTAAATAAACAGAGTGTGGTCTTCATCCCCAGGATCTGGACATGAGATCTGACCCAGATTTGAGAACAGAGGGCTATTCTTCAGAGACTTTAAATCAGGAATACAGTTATTTACAAAGTACAAGCACTTAAAACATATTTAGCTTATGTTTTGAATATTGATGTGATAGTGGGTTTTTTTTCCTTCTGTAGGCTTATTTATTACTACACAGATTTACAATTTTGCTTTTAAATTATTTATATACACATGGCTTAAAGGGAGAGTCTTACCACTAAGGAGAACAATAACAAATTGTTCTGTTGGTGGATGGTGAATTGCTCCTTGGCATCACTCATCCTTCTTTTGCATTTGCAACATAATAACATTTTACTGTAGTTTTCTATTTAATAATTTGCTTTGTGTGAACATTCATCAAAGTTTGACTTAAAGCAGTTCATCCAATTGAAAACAACCATTAATTAGCCAACTGCCTTGTGTCACACATTAAAAATGGGATGGTTCTTTTACTAGCTATATTTAACCAACGGCCAAAACATTTTCCAGCTGTTCACTATTTTTCTTCCCAGAATCTGAGCAGACCCTTGGTATTTCTTTCTGAGAAGGCGGCAAGATGCAGGGGCACATTTAATGCAGAGCTGGAAGGTCCCTTTTCCTCAACTATGATGTAACACCTAAAACTTGACTGCCCACATAGGATGGAACTGGGACCCTGGTTGGTAGCATCACCAGACATTTCTTTGTACTGGCCACACAGGAACAGCCCATTTCCTTACACCAGTGTTCAATTAAATATCTCAAACCTGGCATTTCATTAAGAGGTCAGGGACCAAACTGACCATAAAGACTGATTTATTCTCTCCATTTGAGAAGCTGTCCCTACTGTCTCGCATCTGTGGAAGAAATAGGAGTTTTCTATGGACTGTCAGTCAAGGCTCATTA